CTCCGCCCAATAAGGACATAAACTTCAACCCTTCGTCCAGCCAGTCCCTGCAGGGCGCAGATAGGGTCCCTTCCTCTTTTTTTCTGCTCTCTTCCTCCGAATTCTTACTTTGCGCTCTGAGCCTTTCCCACCCTCCTGCTTTCCCTCCTTCTTTCCTTCTCTCTTTCTTTCTCCTTTCACCTGCCACGGTCCTTCTCCCCCTCTCTCTTTCTTGCTCTTCTCCTGCCCTATCTCTTCCAGTCCACCTTAACTCGAGCCCCGCCCCGGACCCCCATCCAGCCCTCCGTCGCTGCTCTGCCCCGCCCCCTGCACTTCACCTCCCCGTCTGCCCATTGGCCTGAACACACGCCCATCCCCAGTGGGTCCCGCCTTGCGCTCGGCCGGGGAGGGGGCGGAGCCGAGGGGCTGGCCCGAAACCTGCAGGAGGGGAAGGGGGAGGGGGCAGTGTCCGCAGTGGCCTGGGAACCAAGCATTCCTATTAGGGGCTCCCACTCTTCCAAGAGAGGCTTCTGTAGGATCAGCACCTCGGGAGGGATGGGTGTGAGAGTTTAAGGCTAAGCTGCGTGGGGGTGAGGCGAGGATTCAGGGTCTTGCGGTAGGAGGGGTCCCGTGAGGGGCCATAATCAGGTCAGGGCCCCGGAGGAGGGGGAGGAGAGCCAACAGGCCTTCTGCTCTGGTCCCTATGCCCCTCCCCCCTGTGAGGGAGCAGAGGAGTCGTGGCTGCGGACACACTGAGTCCCTCCCCACGCGTGACGGCGCCCGCGGGGAGGGAACTGCGCCCGGGGCAAGCAGCCTATGTGCTCCAGCCAGTGCCCGCTGCGGCCCTGGCATTGTCCAAGGGGAGGGGCCGGGTCTGCGGAGGTGGGTAGTGGAGGGGGAGGTGCATTCACGCTCCCGGTCCCCGCCTTCATCCCGTTGCTCCCTAAGTGGAGAAACTGAGTCTCTGCAAAGTAGCGACGTCTTGACCTGGATTTGTTCTGAAACCTGGGTAGCGAGGGGGAACCTGGATGTGTTAGGATGAGTGTATGGAAGCGGGGCGAGATACGTACTTCATTGCCGCCTCGCAATTGAGGAAGACAGCCTGAGAGGGACTCTTCCAACTGGGCCTGCGGCGCTACGTACCCCAAAGGGCCCCTCCCACTGGTGTCAAATGGAACCAAATTCGGCTACCTTCGGCCAGGTTCCGCTCTCCCGGGCCGGCCGGGACGAACCGGGTAGGACTTGCTTTCCCCTCCCTACCCCCTCCATAGGGGGCCCCCCCTCCCTTTCCAGCAGGTGGCTCCGCGGGACACCAGCTCAACCTGTTGGACCACAATGGGCGGCGCCAGGGGGCCCTGGCCCTCACCCGGGCTGACCCGGGATCCCCGCGCAGGGGGAGGGGCGGAGCCTGGGTCCCTCCCTCTCTCTCCCTCCAGGGCCGTGACTCAGCCTCGGGGCCGCTGCCCTGCGCCCCAGCCAGCGGCGGAAAGTGTGAGGCGCCCCTGAGGGCCCAGGCCAAACCAAACAGCCCCCCACCCCAGACATTATCTCACTGGAGAATTAGGGGGGCTATAGAAAGGAGGGGGGAGCAGCAGTCATGGGGCGCTCCACAACTGGTGATCCACTCCGGGTTTTCCTATCGTCACTGCCCCCTTGGGGCTGGTCATTGCTCCGGGTTTTCTCCTCCGCCCCGCCGGACACTTTCTGGTCCGCCAGAGCCCAGAGTGGGTGGGGTCTAGTCCGCGATTTTTTCCTCCGATCACCAGCCGTCGGGGTCGCGCTGGCCTGCGGAAGGGCAGTGCCGGGGGCGAGGACGCAGTGGCAGATGCACTAGTGAAATGGAGAAGGGGATGCTTCAGGGAAGAGGGGGGTATCACCGTGGAAAAGGGGGGCTGGAAAGTGACCCAAGGAAGGAGGGTCCAGGGCCTCCAGAGGCAATAGAAGGGCGGGCGCCTTGGCACCTATTCGGTACCGAGAAGCAAACGATGTTCAGTACCCCGGCTGGATTCCCCTTGCCCCCCTAGTCCTGAGATCAGGGGGTCGCGTCTGGTGGCTTGCTGGACGCAGCTTGGATCTTTCCCAAGCCGAACTGTTTCTCCCCACTCTAGTCCCGACAGTCCTGAACCTCTTGTTAGTTCTTCTGCGACCCCCTTCAATGGTTCCCTTTTCGTCTGGTCCACACAACTCCCCTGTCGGTTCAGAACTTGAAGGGGGGAACCCCAGCTTGAAACTCCCGCCTACCCCCCGACTCTCAGCTCTTACCGCGCCAAACCACTGAGACAGCGGCGGCCCAGAAACGCTGGCTGGGGGCCGCCACCCCCTCCCAAGAAAGCCCCAGCTGGGCCCCAGGGGCCTGTCGCTGCCTCCTCCCTGCCTTCGGGCCCGACTAGAATTGAGAACTCGAGGGCAAGTGTGGGGTCTGTAGGGGCCTCCGGGGGGGATAGCGGAGCGTCCCAGACCTGCACCTTCAGATTTAAATCTTAAGGCTACTCACTAGACTTTAAGATATGGGGAAAGTAGCAGTGGATACTCAAAAGTGTGAGGAGTTTGCACAAAGAAGAGAATGAAAGCCCAAGCTGAGAGTTAACTTCTCCTTGGGAAAGCTATACACCTGGGGCTGGGGACAGCGATTTGGAGTGGCGACCAGGTGCCCTGACTGGGTCACGTGCGCCAAGGGGACGCTGCAGAGGCATTGGAAGTCTGCAGTATTGGGGAGAAAGGGTTCCTGGTGGGGAAGAGAGTAGAGCCTCTGCCTGGGCGGGGATCTGAATGAGTTGGGTCTAGGGGCCTATTTCAGAATGTAGGAAGCTGAGCTGGCAGCCAAGCGTCACCCAGCGCCAGGCGCCCACCTCTCATCCCTCCCCCCCAACCCCGCAGCCTCCACTTCCCTCGAGAAAAAAAAAAAAAAACCCGCCGCCCAGGAAACCGCTGGGGGCGCTCAGACCGCAGCCCCCCCGCCCGCCGCCCCCCGGCGCTCCCACCGCGACCGCCCAACCCACCTGAAGGGGCCGTGGCTGCCAGGGGTACCCCGCCTCCCGCCGACTCCCCCCACACCTGCGGGCTGCACTATTTATAACTCGGGGCCTATTCCGGGCCTCTGGGCTGGAGCCGACTGCTGCGCGGTGCTAATCGCCGCCTGGATCTCTGCGCCCCCCGGGGCGGAGGGAGGTAAATTTAGCCTCAGGAAGCTCCGGGGAACATTTTCCAAAACTCCACGTCCCAGAGAGGGCGAGACAGAACCCCTTTGCTTTCAGCCTCCTTCCAGCTAGCCACTAGGCGGCGCAGGTCTCCCTGCTCCTCGAACCCAGCTCGGAGTTCGAGTTGCTGTTTTGAAGCGGGGTACAAAACTGCTGAGAGGTGAAAAATGGAGAGGCACTGAGGGCCGGATGGATGTACCCGGGGCTGGAAACTGGTTAGAGGAATGGCTACATCTGGGAGGCTGGCAAAGACTGTGGAGTAGGGAGGCTCAGCTGGGAGTAACTGAGAACAAGGGGGAAATTACTTATACAAACGCGATGCCAACAGGAATGCAAATAAGAACCTCTGCCCTTGTTAGGTTGGGGGTAGTTCTTGTGCTCTGGCGCCTCTGTGAAACATCTGCCAGCCCTTTTTCCATTTGCCTCCCGGTGTTGCTGGGAAGATGTAGGTTCCTCTCGAGATGATTATTATAATACCAGTTTTTTGTGGGCTGCTCCTCAGGCAACTTCGCCGCGGCCCCTCCCCTCCATCTGCATCTCGCACAACACTGAGGGTCATATATCCAACCTAATCCACAGGAACCTTGGGTATCTGGCGGCTTTCCTTTCGCCATAGAGGTTTGGGATCACTGCCAGCTCCTGCGTCTTGTCTGCGTCTGCATCCAGACCTAGCCCCTACCGCTTGTGGGCCACTAGAGGGCCCCAGGGCACCGAGGGGTAAGTGAGGTTTTACCCATCCCTTGGCACCCTGCTTGCGCCCCCCCCCCCCGCGCGACTTCACAGTTGGTAATTCAGACACACAAAACCTGAGCCAGTTTTACCTGGGAAGAAAACATTTCCAGGAAACTACCCCTTCTCTTTTCTAGAAGAGTAGGGGACCAAAGATGGTGGCTGTAGCTGCTCTCTCCTGGCCTTGCCTGGACTAGGTGAAAAGAGTATAGCTGGGACCCCCAAATGAGCAGTGGAGCCAAGAACGAGATAGATTAGGATTGAAGTGGGAAGAGAGAAAGCATGGAAATGGAATAGCACCAGCTCAGAAGAGGAAGCCTGGCTAATTAGGAAAAGCCCAGTAAATCTGGGGTCAGTGTTATTAATTGAATTATATCCCCCAAAAATATGTGTTGTAGTGTTGTAAATCCTAACCTCTGTGCCTGTGGTTAAAATTCCATTTGGGAATGAGTTGTCTTTTCTATGTTAGTAAGGCAGGATTGGTATAGGGTGTATTTTGAGCCGAGTTTTTTATATGAAAGAGATTAAACGAACAATGGAGCAGAGAAGAGATGGGATAAAATAGATGCCAAGACACGTGGAAATCTCCAAGGAACCAGGAAGCAGAAGCTAAAGAGACAAGGACCTTCCTCCAGAGCTGACAGGGAGAGAGGGAAAGCCTTTCCCTGGAGTGGGGCACACTGAATTCAGACTTCTAGCCTCCTAAACTGTGAGAAAATAAATTTCTGTTTGTTAAAGCCACCCACTTGTGGTATTTCTGTTATAGCATCTCTACCTAGATAGGAGCCCTGGTGGCATAGTGCCTAAGGCATTGACTGCTAACCAGAAGGCTGGAGGTTCAAACCCACCAGCCACTCCTGGGAAGGAAGGTTGGACAATCTATCCAAGGAGGGGTCGCTATGAGTCAGATCCGACTAAATGACTGCTCTACTGTTGTGTGCTGTGTGTATGCCCTTGGGTGAATTACCACCTCTCAGGGCAGTACCTTCCTCAACATAGAATAATTTGCCTTGTCTTGCCTTCTTTTGAATTGGACTTTCCTGAGGCTCAAAGCACTTTGTATTGTGGAAAGGGATTTCAGGATGGTATGTGAGGTTATTGTTATTTTCCCTGACTCTCTCCTGGATCTGTCCACTTTCAAGCCTTTCTTTCTGGTTCTAACACTCTTCTTGGGCCACTACAGTCATCTACTCCTCTTTCTTCCTTCTAGTTCCCCACCACCAGTGCTCCACAGGCCACAGTCCTGGGCTCTGTTTCCCCCCACACACCACCACCACCACCACCACCACTTCCCCAGTGGTCTTTGCCCAACAACCCCTCCCCACACTCTTCCTTGGCGGAAGCCCCTCTGTCCAGATTTCAAACTATGGGATCCATCTCCAATGAGTGTCCCAGTTTGGTAGGAATGGAGCCTAAGAAAGGAAGGGGAGGCAAGAATCCAGAGCTTGAGGCAGGGAAGGGCTGGAGTTGGCCAGCCAGAGGGACAGGCTCTGAGGGAAGGAGCCCCAAATAAAAATGGATAGTGTATTCTCTGTCTACCCCACTGTTAACCTTTTCTCTCTGGTTAGCTTCAAGACATTACCCATCTTACTGCTGTGCCCTGGGGTGGGGTGGGGGACTCTGAAGGCATCAGACAAGCACAGTGACCTGGATTTTGTGGATGCCTAAAGAGGGCCACTGAGCTGCCAGGGATAAGAAGTAATCTCGAGTTGGAGTACTATGTTGCCATAAAAAAGAATGGAGAGACTAAATGTACTGATGTAGAACCCTGCATAAGATATACTGAGGGAAAAAAAGCAAGTTGTAGACAGCATGTAGAGTATGCTCCTAACCATGAAAATATATCCAGAGTCACGTCTCATCACTGCTACTGCAGTGACCCTGGTCTGAGCCACTAACATCTCTGGCCCGGAGTGTGCCAGTTACCTCCTAATAGGTTTCTCATAGTCTATCCTTGCTCCACTGTAGTCTATTCTCAACATAGTAGCCAGTTGTGTGCCTTTTAAATCACAAACTATGTTCAAAACCCTGCAATGGTTCCTCATTTCACTGGGGTAAGAGCCCAAGTCCTCCATGACCTGCTTCCACCCCAGCTTAATTTTTCCTTTTCTCCATAACACCTAACATCAATATACTTATTTTTTATGCCATAGTTTATCAACCATCTCCAGATAATGTAAGTTCCATGAATGGAAATAGCTATTTTGTTCAGTGATTTGTCTAAAGCAGCCTGGCATATAGTAGATGCTCAATAATATTTTTTAAGTGATGGAATGAAGATGCCATATATGCACAGACTATCTCTAAGAAACTGGTAACCTTGGTTACCTCCAGGGAGAGCTGGGGACTTGCGGCGGGGGTAAAGTGTGAGATGGAGGCTTACTTTTTACTATCAGAACTCTCTAACTATATATTACTTTTGCAAAAAGGAAAAAAGCCCAGAGAAAAAGGCGTTAACTAAGAAGGCTAAGGAAGAGCTGGTTCCTGGGAGGGAGAGAGAGGGGCCCATACACCATCTCTAGGCTACGACTCCAGCTGAGAAAGGGAGGGGGGCAATAACTCAGTATCAAGAAGGGCCAGGGGATACTGGATGGGGATCCCAGAGAGCCTTCAAATAAGTCCTGTGGTTGGCTCTGAGGTTTGGGGGCCTGTGGGTGGGCATAACAGTGGGCTTCTACATAGCAAGTGGATGTAGAAGGCTGATGTACACCTACCGCTGGGAACAAGTCAGGGAAAGCATGTGTCAGTGGCTGCCAAGGGGATGTGAGGAGTCAATTCTGCTTGCTGTGGCTGTTTGTGGTCTGATGAAGCCTCACTGTGAGAAGCATGAAGGGCCAGTGTGATCACACAGGTGCCTTTCTCTTGCAGCTTTGTATGAGCTGGAGAAGCGGGGCCTTACTTCTTCCATGAGCCAGGAACTAGTAGCACTTGTGCTTTCCCCAGATCCTTAGAGACAGGGAGCTGCCCAAACCAGGGCAAAGGTCTTTTCTTGGGGGGAAGGGGCTTGGTCCTGCAGGTTGCCATGCTAAAACCTTCTTCCCAGAAGACTCCACCCAAGCTGAACCCTCCCTACCCACAGACTGGGAGGAACCTGGCCTTTCTGCTCTCCACCCTCCCCACCCAGGCATCAGTGAGTGACACCTACTTTCAGTCTCAGTTCTATTCAGGGCAGGCTTCTTCCCCCTGGTGTATACTCTGGCTCCAAGACCATTCCAGTACTGATTTTTGCTGATTCTTCTTCAGACATTTGGAATTTTTGACCTCAAAGCCTATTTATTACATACACAGTTCAAGGATTCTCAAGCAGAGATCTGGGGTTTAGGTAGCAGCCCATTCCTGGTACTAAGTGGGTACAGTAAGATCAACCATCTGGGCTGGTGGGCTGGCTGTGCCAAGCTGGGAGGAGCTCCAGGTCCGGCTATAATCTTACTGGGGTCCTTGCCAGCAGGCCAAATTGCCGCCCACCAGAACAGAGGCCCAGAGATGAGGCAGGTCTGACAGATGGCACAGTTCAAAGCAGGATCCAGACTTCACTTGTTTGCAGCCCATCCTTGGTCAAGCATAGCTGATCCTGAGAGTCTTGATGGGGGTTGGGCTGGGTGCTAAAGAAGAGAATGGGAAGCTGAAAGGCAGGCTGTGCTACAGAAACTGCAGCCATACCTCCTGTTTGCCTTAACTGCCCACCTGAACGATGCCAGCTGGGGAGAGGCGGCCGTTCTCTGCTGCCGTTAATCCAGCAGCTCTTTGATACACCAGCAGCAGAGGAGGATGTAGGCGATTTCCTTCAGGGTCCGCTGTAGGCCCTCCCACCCTGTGCCCATCTTCATGACAGGTACTTGGAACCCGGCATTTTGCAGGACCCCTCCAAGGGAGAAGGGTAGGGCCTGGGCTAGGGGCTGTGTCCGCGGCTGCATGTGGGCAGCAGCTCTGAGGGAGGGGGGGAGCTGCCTACAGTGCCTTTTTATCAGTATTGTCCCCACCCCCCTCAGGCCTCATGACTACACAGACAAAGAGCTCAGGGTCTAGCAAAGGAAGGTTCTGGGCTTGGGAATAGGCTGAGTTGGCCCCTATCAGGGGTGGGTGGGGTTAGTAGTAGGGAGGGCCTGGCCACTCTTTTATCCTCTGCCACCAGGCCATCTCAGCTTCCCTTATTGCAGCCCAGGTCTTGATAACTCAGGTGCCCTGCCTGGTTGTCCCTTTCCCCAGTGGTTGGCACTACTCCTGCTCTTGCCTTCTGCTGGGCTCCTACTGAGGCAGGCATCAAGAACCTACAATGAGAGCTCCTTTCTAGCCTATTCAGCCTCACCCTAGAATGAGCAGGTCTGGCCCACTTCTGCTTTGCCCATCCATTGGAGCAAGAAGACACAGCTGGAGCCACGGGCACAGTTGAGAGGCATTGTTTATTGACAGGTTATACCCCAGAACAGCCACCTTCCCTCCCTCCTGAATGGGCAGGGGTTGGAGGTCAAGTGCGGGAGTTCCGCTCCTCATCCTCATTCTCTAGTTGGTAGGCTGGGCGATAGGTGGGGTGTCCTCCTGGGCTCAGGCACTTCAGGGCTGGGTTCCGCACTGTATTCTCCTGGCTCCCCAGCGATGTGTAACTGCAGTGGGGAGAAGGAAGGGCAAGTGAGTGGTGGGGTAGCTCTCCTCATCCTAGCACCCTCATATTCCCCAACACCCCATTTCTTCCCCTGACACCCTTACCCTCGATCATACAGGATACAGTATGGGACAAACAGCTGACGCAGAAAGTCCCAGATATCTCTGTAGGTCCAGTCCTGGAAGGACAGAGGATCTCAGAATCATCACAAATATCTGAACCCCTCTCCCACACCTACCCCATGCTGTCCTGGGAAGGGGCCCACCCAAGGCTCTTCCGCTCCCTTGGCTTCTGAGGGGAGGTATGTCTGCTGTCTGATTCTCTGGTATATCTTTCCCTGTGCAGGCTAAGCAATGAGAGCCTTCATTCTATTTCTAATCTACCCATCACACTGGAGAGTAAGCTCCAGAAGGGCAGGGAGAGGCTGTGTCTTTCTAAGGCAGTACTGTCTAACAGCACCTTCTACAATGATGGAAATGTTCTTTATTTGTGCTGTCTAATATGCAGCCACCAGGCACATGTGACTGCTGAGCCCCTGAAATGTGGCTGGTGCAGGGGAGAGAACACAGATAGGTAGAGTATTGATTTGGGTGAAGGGAATGGCAGTGTACCAAAAGTAAGTGACTGGCACTGAGGAAGAGGAAGATACAGAGAGGTAGACAAGAGGTACAGACAACAAAGATAAACCCTTTTACATACACAATACTGTGCTGTCAATGACAACAAACAATTTACGGGTAATAAGATAGGTAGACAGGTTGGATGATCAGGTATGTCTAGGCAAAAGGGAATATACTCATGACCATATATAAGGTTGGCAGATGATATTTCTATATTCCTATTTGTATGTGCTATAAGAATGTCCATATACATAATAGAGCTAACAAGGGACAAAGTTATGATAACTTTGTGGCCACAGCCAACTACTCTCAGGAAGCGAGTATTTGGATCTGTGGGCTCAGGACGATGGTCACAGGAGACATCAAGTTCAATTGGCATAACATACTACACAAAAACATTGTTCTATACCCTACTTTGGTAAGTAGTGACTGGGGTCTTAAAAGCTTGCAAACGGCCATCTAGATGCAAAAATGGTTCTCTCCTCGTCCAGAGCAAAGATGAGGAAAACCAAAGACGCATGGAAAAAATTAGTTCAAGGTATGAGAAGACCATGCAATCCTCAGCTTATATGACCACCATCTAGACCAGAACTAGATGGTGCCTGGCTACTACTGTCAACCGCTTGGAAAGGGATCAATGCAGATCCTGGATACAGTGGGACAACAATGTGGAACAAAACTCAAAATCATAAAAAAAAAAAGACCAGGTCTGCTCATCTAAAAGAGCCTGGTGAGACTCCCAAGACTACGGCTCCTAGTTACCCTTTGGTCTGGAATTGAACTTACTCCTGTGGCTTCCAGCCAAACAACAGACAGGCATAGTATAGGGTAAACATTTACAATGAGAAGATACACTCCTTAGAGTGGTCAATCATGGGAGAACAGAAGGGCAGTATTTGCACAGGGAAATAGCTTGGGGGGCAGGAATGCATAGGAAAGAAGGACACGGGGAGAGATAACCAGAGGGAGGAAGTGGAAAGAGAGGTGTACATTGTGGGGAATTGTAGTCAATGTCATGAAACACAATGTGTATGAACTGCTGTATGGAAAATGAATTTTCTCTATGAACTTTCACCCAAATCACAATAAAAATAATAATAATAAAAAAGCAATGTGGCTAGTACAACTGAAGGGCTGAATTTTTAATTGTATTTAATTTAAAAAATGAGATATAATTCATATACCATAAGACTCACCCCTTTAAAGGGTACAGGTCAGTGGTTTTAGTCATTTGTATTTAGTTATAATTAATGAAAATTTAAGGATTCATGGCTATTTAAGTATAAATAAATAGCTAGTGGCTACCACCATATTGGTCCCACAAGTCCAAGTTCTGTCCAGAGTGGACAGCACAATGCCTGCCATTCAATTATTGTTGTTAGGTGCCATTGACTCAATTCCAACTCAGAGACCCCATGTGACCGAGGAGAAATGCCCCATAGGGTTTCCTAGGTGTAATTTTTATAGAAGCAGATGGCCAGGTCTTTGTCCTATGGAGCAGTTGGGTGGGTTTGAACCGACCACCTTTCAGTTAGCAGCTGAACACTTAACCATCGTGCCACCAAGGCACAACTGAACTGAATGATCAAATAGCACTGCTTCCTTTGGAGGACAGGGCCCCTGTCCTTTGTCCCTGAAGCCCCAAGTTCCAGCCCCTCTACCCTTTGGGGAGTCAGGATGCAATGACACTGATGATGGGGGACATGAGGCTGAAGGCAATATGTCCTCTCCGCCATTACCAGTAGTGGGTTGATACGCATGAATGAAGGCCAGCCTGGGTCGGTGGGGCTGAAGGGGCGGAGGCTGCAGGAATAAGGGTCAGTGCGACGGGTGCCCATCAGGACGGCCGCTAGCTGGGGGTGCCGTGCCTGCAGCTCACCCAGGGCCTGCTTCATGTCACCCTGAGCCTCCAGCACCTGCAGATTATACCTTAGGAAGGAGGAGAAGTGGGGGGTTAGGAGTAGGCCCTGCTAAGCCCGTCTTGGAGCCCAAACCCCCAGGCCTCTAATACCTCTTGATGGTGTCCTGTAGAAATTGCTCCAGCTCAGGGAAAGGGGAGATGCTGCGGATATACAGGATCTGGAGGGGTTCTTGGGCATCAGGGCATTTCCTGGGGAGGGGAGAGAATCCACAAGTTTGCCTCTGTGGGCAGGAGGCTGGCTCTCAGATAGCTTACACTGTTCTCTTTGGGTCCTGGGATGGATACCCCCTTTCTCCTCTCTTCTTGTCCTTCCCATCCATCAGAATCCACCTCTCCTGGGGAGCCTACTCTGACCTCTCACCTCTCAAATCTGGAGCACACCTCTCCCCGACAGGACTGTGATCTCCCTGTGGGCAGGGATGGTGGCCTCAGGACCACATGTCAGATGTTCAATAAATATGGTGGGAGAATGGAATTAAGAGATCATGGCTACCACCATTTGACTGCTAACTAGAAGGTTGGTGGTTCAAACACAACAGCCACTTCCTGGAAGGAAGACTAGGCAATCTACTTTTGTAGAGATACTGCCTCAGAAACTCAAGGAGGGGTCGCTATGAGTTGGAGCTCACTCGACGGTAGCGAGTTTGGTTTTTTTTTTTATGGCTACCACTCTTCCAACCCCAATTTCCCAGATACTCCTTTTCTCTCTGCTTCTAGGGATGGGGTACAGGAGAAAAGGGTTGATCAGGAATCCCTAGGACCTTGCCTCTTAGGGTACAGGCTCACCTCTGCACAGCTGCGTGGAAGAGATGCAGGAGGGCGGTGCAGTCCTTGCCTCCATTGAAGCCCACACAGAGCTGGGTGAGGCTGTACTGAGCCAGAGCTGTCTCAATTATCTGCAGGGCACCTGCCACCTTTTGCCCCAGAGGAGACCCTGCCAGGTAGGCAGGGAAGAGGCTATCAGATAGATATGCACTATCCTCAAAGGGAAGTGGGGGCCATGTTGCCTTTGCCTAAAACCCTCCAATGCTTTTGTACCTCCAATACCTAGTGTTCCTAGGAACTCCTTCATGCTACCCACTAGACTCTGCGGAGTCTGTCCTTATCTGCCTTCAGCCATCCCTTCACGTCACTCTTGCCCTCAGTGCCTTCCCTCCGAGGGTCCTGACTCCCTTCCATTCACCTAAACCCCATGCTACTTCCTTTTCTGGCCCTCTCTCATACTGTTGCTCTTGCCCCCCTGTTGGTCTGACCAAACCCTCCTTTTCTCTCAGCTTAAATATTACTTGCCCAGAGAAGCCTTCTCTGACCTCAAATCAAGGATGAGCTCTCTGCTGTGGAGTCTCCTTCATCACCCCTGTCACTTGCATGATGATCTGTTTAATGTCTATTTTTCATATTAAATACCTGTCCTGCTGAGCTATCTCCCAATACCCAGTGAACTCTGGTGATAGTAGATACTCTGTCAATATTTGCTGAAAGAATGAATGAATCAACAGTAAATCTCTTCTACCCAACTCAGATTTATGGGAAGCCCCAATAGCCCTTGCATTCCCAAGACCTAGAGTGGCACCAATGGTTGGTTCTTGCTGTCACTGGAGAAGCCCCTACCTGATTCTGTGAGTTTGTATACAGCCTCGCTGGCCTGGTCCACAGCATTGGGCATGTAGGGGACCAGTGATCCTTGGGGCAGACGGGCAGTCAGGTAGGCCAGCCCTTCCTCCAGGTATTCTTCTTCCTCCGAGTCTAGGGTCAGTTTCACCTGATAGTAGTTGCTGTTCCAGTCAGGGTAGGAACCCAGGCCAAGCCTGCGACCAAAGTGGGCCTGGGCCTCCGCCAGGATGGGGGCAATAGAAGCCTCATCAGCAGCCACATACAGCTCCCGCAAGTGGAACTGAACAGCTGTGTTTTGGAACAGTCCTTTTAGCCCTTCCAGCGCTCGGCGCAGCAGCTCTGGAATGCCTGGGAAGAGGTAGACATTTTGGACAGAGACCAGTGGGAATTTGAAGGGGCGGCCAGTTTGAGGATCTGTGCCGTAGTGCAGGCGGGCAGAGGAGGGCACCAGAGACATCTTCTCCCGTCCCACCCCTCCTAGGGCTCTGATGGCGGCTTCCAGCTCAGGGTGTGGCTTCAGCTCATCCCCAAAGGCCTGTGCCACTGCCTCAAAGGTCACATCATCATGAGTGGGGCCGATACCCCCGGCCGTGAGGACATGGGTGAATTGGCTCGAGAAGGAAGTGACTTCAGCTGCAATAGTGGCTACCTCATCAGGTACGACAGAGACTCGGCACACCTGGACCCCCAGGGAGCGCAGCATCCGGCATAGAAAATAGGTGTTGGTGTCTTGAGTGCGTCCCTGGAGCAAAGGGAGGGGAGGCAGAGGATGAGAATGGTAGTACTGTGGGGATGAGGGCACAGAGGGAAGGGATGACAGCTGCCTGATCATGGGGTGCTCTGCTCTTTGGGGGACACCATGTCAAGCTACCGAGAAGCCTAGACTGGGGTGCAAAAGTAGAAAAATCAGTTTAGAATGGAGTTAGTGATCTACTTTGGGCCTCCCTTCTCTGTGCTCTGTGTGATCTTATCTATGCTTATGAGTTGAATGTTCAATCCTATAGTCCCCAGGTGGCATAAATGGTTCAGTGCTGGGTATCATCTGAAAGGTCGGCTGTTCAAATACTCCTAGAGGCATCTTGGAAGACAGGCCTGGTGATCTGGTTCCAAAAGGTCACAGCCTTGAAAACCCTTGGAGCAGTTCTACTCTGCACACATTAGGGCTGCCATAAGTCAGAATCGATTTGCCAGCAACTGACAATAATATGGACAACCAGTCTGCGTCCTCACCAATTTGGATCTTCCTCCCTAGTTTCAGTCCCTTGGCTCCAAGTGCTTGTTGGACAGCTTTACCACATCCCTGGCTTGTCACTTTAGTTAATGGCATGCCTTAGGTACTATCCACAGCACCCCCAGGCACTGACCACTGTCCTCACAGGGCAAGGCACAGAATGCATCCTGCTAATTCTACTTCTGAAATTCTCCCCGTCTGCTCTCTTCTCTCTTTCTTCTTGGCACCTTTCACCTGGGCAATGGTGACAACCTCTTGGCCAGGCTCCCAGCCTTCAGCTACAATACTCTGCCCAGTGCCTCCCAAATAACCTTCCAAATGCGTCACTGTGATTGCATCACTCTTGGGCTCAAAAGCCATTTGTTGTTTCTAACTGTATACAGAATAAAGTTCAAATTCCTTTGCAGGGTATTTGAGACTGCCTCTCTATGGTGTGTCCCAATCTTCTTTTTCAGTCCCATCTCCTTCTACTTCCCCACAGAGGGTTTAGTGGTTATGATTTTGTGTTCCGGGATAAGGAAGAATCAGGCTGGAATCCCATCTTTACTATTTCCTAGCTGTGTAACCATGGTAAATTTCTCAACCTCTCTAGTCATCAGTTTTATAATCTATTAAGATTTATAATAAAACTATCACCTCCTACTTTGGTTGTGAGGATTAGTAAATGCACATGTTTGATGTTATAAGCATGTTGCCAGGCCCTATTAAGACCTCAATAAACACCAGAAAAACCCAACCCAACTGATTGCTGTTTAATTGATTTGGAGTCATTGAGACCCTATAGGACAGAGTAGAACTGCCTATAGGGTTTCCAAGGTTGTAAATCTTTGTGGAAGCAATCTGCCACATCTTTCTCCTATGGAGTGGTTGGTGGGTTTGAACCACTGAACTTCTGGATAGCGGCCAAGTACTTTAACCATTGGACTACCAGAGCTCCTTACTCAAGAAATAGGGCTCAATATTACTATTATAGGAGCCCTGGTGGTGCGGTGATTAACTACTTGTCTGCTAACTGAAAGGTCAGTGGTTCAAACACACCCAGCTGCTCCACAGGAAAGAGTTAGCAGTCTGTTTCCATAAAGACTGACAGTCTTGGAAACCCTATGAGGCTGTTCTACTGTGTCCTATAAGGTTGCTATAAGTTGCAGCTGACTCCAATGGGTTTTGTTTGTGTTACTACTATTATGAATATGATGTCTAATAAAATGAGACTCCTCGGAAGGAAGGTTGGGCAATCCTACTTCCGTAGTGATACTGCCTCGGAAACCCAAAGAGGGGTCGCTATGAGTCGGGGCCGACTCGACGGCAAAACAACAACAACAACAACAACATGACTTTTGCTCACTAAAGATACTTGCTTTCACAACTCTATGCCTTTACTCTCCGGAAGTTTTAAACCTTTAATTTTGATTTTTCTTTGTCAAGAACCTACCATCCCTTAATTTAGTCTCTTGGCCTAATATAGTTCATGAAGTTAATGTTCTACATTTGAGTTTGGTCAGCAGCGCCTGGGGTCTTAAAAGCTTGTGAGTAGCCATCTAAGATACAACTATTGGTTTCTACTTATTTGGAGTAAAAGAGAACGAAGGAAATCAAAGACTCAAGGAAGAAACTAGTTACCAGGACTAATAGCCCACATGAACCACGGCCTCTTCTAACCTGAGACCAGAAGAACTAGATGGTACCACTACTGACCATTCTGACCAGGGACACAATAGAAGGTCCTGGTTAGAATGGGAGAAAAAAGTAGAACAAAATTCATTCATAAAAAAAAAAGACCAGGCTTACTGGACTGATAAGAGACTAGAAGAACTCCTGGGACTCTCACTCTAAGACTCTTTTAACCTAAAACTGAAACCTCCTAGAGGTTTTCAGTCTAACAATAGATTAGATTATAAAATAAACAATATCACCATGAGTAATGTCTCCCTTAAGTAACTGAATGAGACCAAATGGTCAACATTTATTCAAAAGCAAAGATGAGAAGGCAAAGAGAAGGGAAGCTAGATCAATGGAAACAAAAAGAATGGAAATAATGAGAATGCTGACATATTATAAAAACTGTACCCAATGTCATGGAACAATTTGCATAAAAATGGTCAAATGGGAACCTAATTCACTTTGTGAACTTTCAGCTAAAAAACAATGAAATATTTAAAAAAACAAAAAATTTACTATTCTTCAAAGCCTATTTCTAATGCCATGTCCTCTAGTATGACTCCCCTGAAGGATATTCAGAAGGGATTCCTCCTTTCTAGTACTTTCCCTCCATGTCACTTATCCACACTGCTGCTGCCTTGAATCATTTTCCAAATTGGCTCGGTATAATTCTTAAATAAACAGTATATGCACCTGTACCTTCTCTAAACTCTGGACTCTGCCATTTATACAGTTAGTTAACCTTACCATGACTTGGCAAATTGTAGGGACTTGCTACAAGTTTTCTGACAGGGTAATTGAGAGAATGAAGGTCACGTTTCCTCCAATATACAGGACTCACCCGAGGATCCGACTGCAAGGGGGCTCCCACTCTGGTTTACCCTCCCTCCTTAGGACATGTGGCGAGTTCCTAATGACAGGGGAACACCCCCTCCCCCTTCTGTCCCAGACACACCTTGAGGATCTCATCTCCAACAATGATGATGCCGGCCGTCACACTGCGCCCTGGGGAAGAAGGTTCAGAGGCCCTAGATGCCATCGTCCTGTCTTCTCTGTCTCTCTGCAAGGCTCTCCAGTAGCCACCCTGACCCCAAAACAGGGGTCGTAAGTACGGGCGTCCCGCCAGATCTACAGGGCACTGGGGGCCATAGCGTGGAAACAGGGGGTCCTGGGTCGAGGAAACCTGGAGAAGCCACAAATGACAATGGAGGAGAACAAGAGTGCACGTTCCTTTGAGTCTTCTCTAACTAGGCCCTTGACAAGCAACGCCTTTATCCGTGCCTCTTTAATAAATGTATTCTCAAACCCCAGCCCATGCTCTTTTATGTATGTCCTCTAAACCTGACTCTCAACAAAAAATCACTGCCGTCGAGTCGATTAGGCTCATAGCGACCCCTCCTTGGGTTTCCGAGGCGGCATCTCTACGGAAGTAGATTGCCTAATATTCCTTCCGAGGAATGGTTGGTGGGTTTGAACCGCCAGCCTCCTGGTTAGCAGTCAAATGCCTTAGGCATTACGCCACCAGAGCGCCCATAGTCTCCTTAAAATGTCCTACTTTCCCGAGCACCTACCCCTTTAAATGTCTTCTGTATGCCGAGCCGGTGTCCTCAAGTGTCTGCTCTATCGTAGACATCTGCACCTTTAAAGGTCTCTTCTCTTCCGGATACCTGCCCCTTTAAATGTCTACTTTCTCCTGGGTAGACATTTAAACAAGTTCCCTCCTCCAACCAGATCCTCCAGGCTTCCGCACCCTTTCTAGCCTGCAATCTCCTCTATTCCTATCAAATTCCTGTCTATGGAGCTCTTCTAGGCTCTCACCTGCCTCTTTTACCCCTTCACCCGGTCTTTCCCTCTTTCCTGTCCACATGTCCCAGGAGAGCTTCCGTACTAAGGCGGGAGAGTCCCGCCTTAGGCACACATCTGCCTATATTAATTGGTCGGTTTGCCTGTCGCTCAGACTGCCCTCAAGGTTCCAATTGGTGAAGTCGATTATCACTCGTGGTCTTTCGCCCGTGTGAGGGAACTGTGCCGGTTTGTTATTAGGCCAACCACGTGGCCACACCCGGAAATGCGGAGTCGGGGCCTCCTGTAAAGGCGGGACCTAGGGAGTCTGATGCGTGAAAGGAGTTGTGTTCGAAAGTATTGTAATAGGTCTTTGGGGTACAGGTATCAACTGCTTTTCAAGAGTTCGCTTCATGCTACTTTGGTTTTAGGAAAGGCCTACATTAGAACCTGTTTTTGCCAACCAAAAGAATTCCAAAGAAGATTTTCGCTTTTACGAAAAAAGGCAAAAAAAACTAAACTAGCTCAGCGTGTTTTGCAGTGAGCAACGGGTGGGCGTAGCCAAGCTCCTGCTCCGGGAACTACGCTGGTTATTTCTACTTTATATAGGCTGTGTAGGAGCTCTGGTAGCATAGTGGCTAAAGCACTTGACTGCTAACCAGAAGGCTGGCGGTTCAAACCCACCAGCCACTCCTGGGAAGGAAGATGGGGAAATCTACTTCCGTAGTGATACTACCTTGGGTCGCTATGAGTTGGGTCCGACTTGACGGCACATAACAACAACAACAACATAGGCTGTGTAGGAGCTCTGGTAGCGTAGTGCCCAGAGGCACTTGACTGCTCACCATTAGGCTGGCGGTTCAAACCCACCAGCCACTCCTCGGAAGGAAGGTTGGGCAATCCTACTTCCGTAGTGATACTGCCTCGGAAACCCAAGGAGGGGTTGCTATGAGTCGGGGCCGACTCGACGGCACATAACAACAACAACAACATAGGCTGTGTAGGAGCTCTGGTAGCGTAGTGCCCAGAGGCACTTGACTGCTCACCATTAGGCTGGCGGTTCAAACCCACCAGCCACTCCTGGGAAGGAAGATGGGGAAATCTACTTCCGTAGTGATACTACCTTGGGTCGCTATGAGTTGGGTCCGACTTGACGGCACATAACAACAATAGTCTGTGTATTTAGCGTATCATCCCTGCTTTTAAGTTTTATGTGTTATTTGATAGGTTATTTTTTGGGTCTGGGAGCAGGGACCAGCCTCAAATACTTTTCCCATATAAATTAATGCTAATTGCTGCATCATTTTAGCCATTTTTGCTTAAGAAAGAACGCCCTATTTTCAGATTGAGGGGCGGAGGACCTGTACATCCTTTTAGTGCTGGAAGTAAAGGGACTCTTGTTTCTTACCTCTTCTGTATTCACATTTCCTGCATACATACGCTGTTGTCATTAACTATGACTAATTCTAGGCTAAGGGGTCAAGGGCTGGTACGGGTGTCAGAAAGGATCTTACATTGTAGCAGAAGGAAATTAAATGGGCACCAAGAATGATAATCAGCATTGCCAGGGGGTAGGAAGATCGTGGAGTAGGTGAGCTTTTAGTGGGACTTTCATTTGCCTCTAGTATTAACAATAAAACTACTTAAAAACTTGTCTTGCCTCACCTTGCTCTTCCCCATCATAAGGAGCTCTGGTAGCACAGTGCCTAAGTCATCTGACTGCTAACCAAAGGGTTGGTGGTTCAAACCCACCATCTGCTCTGCAAATCTACTTCTGTAAGGATTTACCCCCCTGTGGAACCCAAATGGGGGTCACTGTGAGTCAGATTTGGTTTGGTGGCAGTGGGATTTTTTTTTTCCTCCCCATCATTGGACTTATAGTTACACGGGAGGGAAGCAAGTATGGAGTGCCTTTTGTATCTACTCAGGGTTCTCCCATCAACTCCCCATTTCAGTTGCCATTGGTCTAAAAGTGTTTCTTAAACTTTAATGTTCATAATGGGGATCTTTTTAACATTAAAATTCTGATTGAATCTTTCTGGTTTGTGTGGCTCCTGGATATGCATTTAACAAGCTCTGGAGTCATGCCGATGCTGCTGGTTTGTGGACATTTGAGTAGTGGTTGGTAGTTGCTGTCCACTTTGACTCAGGACAACTCCATTATGTGCAGAATAGAACCGCTCTGTAAGGTTTGCAAGGCCATGACTTTCAGAAGATCATCAGGGCTGTCTTTCAAAGCACCTCTTGCTAGGTTCAAACTGTCAGCCTTTTAGCTAGTAATGGAGCACTTAACTGTTTGCACCACTCAGGGACTCCTTTTTCAATAGTAAGGGTCTAAAATTGAGCCGCCAAACCACAGCTGGCCTCATCTTACTCTCCTGAAAAGTCCCTAAGATAGGATCATACCCATTTTACAGATGGACAGCAGGCTCAGAAAGATGAATGGACACAGCCAACAACTACAGAACACTAATGTGAGTGGTAAAGCCAGGTTCCCAGGCTTGTAGACCCATCCTTCCTCAAGTAATAAGTTGTGCGTGTGTGTTCAATTAAAACATCAGTTGTGGTCCAGTTTTCCTAAGCTTTAGCAAGCATCAGAAGGGCTTGTTAAAAGAGATCAACCCTGGCTTCATCCCTGTGATTCAGTAAGTCTAGGGCGGAACCCAACAACTTGCATTACTAATAAGTTTCCAAGTGATGCTGATGGTCCTGGTCCAGAGACTACACTTGGGAGAACTAGTAGTTGAGGGAGAGGGAGAGGGAGAGAGGGAGAGAGAGAGGAGGGAGATATATATAGAGAGAGAGAGAGAGGAAGAGAGAGAGGAGGGATAGGAGAGAGAGAGGAGGGGGAGAGAGAGAGAGGGAGAGGGGGAGAGGGAGGGAGGGAGGGAAAGGGTAAGATAGTATTTGGTGAAATGTTTTCCTAAACTGCTACATTTTCTGAAATGGTTGCACAACTTGTTTTCTCAAAAGCCTACACAGAAAAAGCCAGTTGCTGTTGACTGTGAGACTCCCATGTGTGCAGAATAGCTTCATAACGTTTCCATGGCTATGACCTTTCTAAAGCAGATTGCCAGGGGCTTTTGGGTAACTGTACCACCCAGGAACTTCAACTACTTCCGTAAAAATACTTGAAATGTCTAAATTCAGGCCACACCCCACACCAATTAAATGAGAATCTCTAGGCACTTAGACAGCAGTACTTTAAAAGTTCCTTGGGTGATTCCAATGCCCAGCCAAAGAACCACCAAAGATACATCCAACCTACGTGCACATGGGGTACACAGGTCTGCCTGAGCCCTTAGGCCAAACCAAAAGGCCGGCTGTTTGAACCCATCAGCCACTCTGTGGGAGAAAGATGAGGCAGTCTGCTTCCATAAAGATTTACAACCTTGGAAACCCTCTGTCCTATACAGTCACTATGACCTGGAATTGATCCAATGGTAATGGATTTAGCAGTCTCTGGCTGACAGCCTTCTCTCTTTACCCTCATCTGCCCTTCAAATATTGGGACTAGGTTGAAGACAACATCCCTGACTGTAAGAAACAGTTCATGTGTTTTAGTGAGACGAGATTGTCCCTATATAACCTTTACCCCAGGCAAGCAGTTAAGAGTGAAATATATTTCAGTAGATATTTGACAGCAAGTCTGCTTAAAGTAGATTAAAAACCAGTTACCTGATTGTTGATATAAACCTCATTAACAGCAAAGAGCTAAGTTTCATTATCTAACTGAAGGGCAGATAATTAGAATAATTGAATATGATGATCATCCTGAGTGTGGGCAAAAAATCTTACAACTGGAAAACTGGATTATAAAAAATTCCTCTTTAATCAAGGGTTTTAACATGGAACAGATTTCTTGAATAAAATGGAAAGTTTCCAATACATTGAAACATAAATCCACAATCACCAAACATATAATACCTGGCAGGAAAAAACAAAACAGCAAGTTTACACAATCCCTGTAACTGAGCCCCATGGTCTTATTCTCAGATACTTTCTCCATCTGCCAGGTGTGTTCTGCGGGATGCAGAGCTCACCACGGCTTCCAGGATCACAAGCAGCTGAGACGGCAGCCCACAGAGCACTCATCGGGCTGGGCGATGATAGCTCTGCTCAAGAAGCAAAGCAGTCACCAGCACATTCAAACAGTGTATTGAATATCCCTTAAATATCAAAGTGAGAAACAAGAAGGCAACATTATTATTAGAAAGATGTTAGCAAGTAAAGACAGCTGTGAACAGCTTGAGGCTGAAAAGTGGCTTGCTAGCTTCATTTCTTTGGCTTCTTGGGTAGCGGCCGCCGGAACAGCAAGATGTGAGGTTCTGAAACAGTGAGTGAAATCTGAGAGACCAGCTTACACCATTCTATGTACCAAAAACACACAGGCTGTGGTTTATCCCATCCCACTCCAACCTCCCAGCTATCACCCACTCAGATCTTTGTAACTAAATTAAAATTTAAGCATATGGCCTTAGAAGCAGACCAAGAAGTAAGTCTGGCCTGTCTGCCAAGTACAGAATTGTTAATATCAGTTCTTTTGCTATGTTTGTATAGCCCTGGGGTGTCCTTTATTAGTTTTGCCTGGCAGCTGGGTGTCTGGTATCTTACAAAGAAATATACTTTCCTTGGCTTATTTGGAACACAACCAAGAATTGGCTTTCTGATGGAGAAATGAAGCAGGAGCTATAACCTCTACCAGGATATATCAGGACTTAAAAAGAGTACCCTCTGGCAGAATTAAAGACTGAAGGAGGGTTTTTAGTGACAGGCTGGCTCTGAACTCCTTAGATCTTTACTTTTGGTCACTCTGATTTGTCCAGATGGCGGTGGGAAAAAGCCAGTGAATTATTC